TATATAAAAGGCACTAATTGAAAAATATTAAGCAAGACTATGAAATCTAAACTAATTAATTCTTGCATTATTCACATCTTGTGCAATATATACAATAGAATACATATATTATTTTATATGATATGTGTATATTTATGTAAACAATATAAAACATTTAAAAATAGAAATACAAATATTAAATTTTTCTTTTGTGTTAATAAACAAAACTTGTTGTGTTAAAATTCTTACCTAAATCTCAGACTTGCACATACATTTGCTGTGCTGTTAATTGTTCCTTAATTTATTATTTAATTCAATAATAAATATATATATATTTAGGAATAAAATTTGCATATGACTGTATATATTTATACTTATATTTGATGTAAATGACTACATAGAGTATTATATTATCTAAGTTAGTATAATTAAAACAAACTCATTTGGTATTAAAATGTCCATCAAATAAAATCAAATGTGTCAGACAGCTTTGAGTTGATTCCAGAAGTCAAATATACTTAAATTTGTAGGCGCATAAATAATAAATGGCTTATTTAGTTAATTACTAATAGACAAGTGGAAATAATTGGAAATAAAAAATTATCTGTTAAATTATTTTTGTAATTAACAAACATGAATCATCATATTATACTCGTAGTAGTTTTAATGTTTAAAAATGTCTGAACATAAATATATATGTATAAGCAGGCGCGTAGCCAGACTGAAAGAGAGATTGAAGCCAACACCCCGAAATGAACTAGAGGATTATATTTATACATATGTATATTTAGTATTGTTTCATGGTTGTTTCATAAGAGAAAAATTTTTTACTGAATTATCTTAACGTAGTAATGTTTGACAATACATATAGAATTTTAGAGCCCATACCAATTTTTAAATTATTTCACCAAAAGCTCAATGAAGGTAAAACTAAAGTTGAAGGTACACTTTGCATTACAACAAACTTTCATATATATATATGGTTTTTGAATAATTAAACGTTTGTCTTAGATACTCCATTTTGACTATATTAAACACCTCACCTAAGCTAGACTAAACTGTAGGTATGAAGCTAATTGTCAACAACAACTAGCAACTACAATATGTCAGTAGACTGAGTATGAACATAATAATATTTGACCGAATACTAGAACATGAAACATTTGACGATAACAAAACAACTACCAAGATAACTATATTTCATGCCTTAACTATCTTCATAGAACCCAAGCTTTTCACTTCCACTGCATCAGCATTTTGAAATATTAAATATAAAATGCGAAAGCAGAAACTGATATGAAAAATTTAATGGAATCCAAATAACTCCCTCTCGTCAACAACAAAAATACTGACAATTTTCTTATTATAAATATATATCAACTAAAAGGAATCACTGGTTTTTTAACTAAGCACGCTCCAATTAGCTACCCTTTTTTAAAGATGCAAATCGAGCATGAAATGTCGAATGAAAATTTCGCCAATCTTATGTGCTTATATTCTAGGATTATCAGAAAACGAATCCTGGACATTATTTTAACTCTCATTCCTTGTAACGCTTTGCCACTTCCACTAATTTTAACTGAATCGGAAAAAAAAGAACTTGCTGTAACCCACACAATGATCCCAGAATCAACAGACTGTGATGTGTCACTATTCTTAGATACATATATTCTTATATCAGAAAAATATATTAACACCGTTATTAATGAATTTTTAATAAGAACGATTATTAGACCTAGTATTATATGAATACTAGACCATCTAATTAAATCCACATATAAGATCTTTATGATATATAACTTATACACAGAATTCATAAAAATTCCTTGAATTGTATTTAAGTTACTTAGACTATATTTTAAGTTAATAAACTTAAAGTATTTAACTTACTTAGCATTTCCGATTGCGTTTTCGTCGCCACATGTGCGCCCAATTTGAAAAGCGAAACTGCGCTCATGTTGATTATAGTTGAAGTTATTTCCATACGGAAATTGTTGCAAATGATTTTGTTGCTGTATATGTTGGTACATGATTGGTTGTTGTTGCTGTTGCATTTGTTGTTGTTGTTGTGGCTCTTGATGTTGGAACTGTGGTTGTTGCAACTGATGATTTTGTTGTGCCAGCACTTTATTTTCATCATTTAAATGTCCATCAGGATTTAAGCGTAACTGGTCGGCTGTCGTGGAATTAGCCTCTAAGTTACCATAGAACCCATTGTTGCGATGCATGACAGACTGCGCTTGACCATTCATAAATTCACTTTCAGTTGTACTTACAATCACAGACGGCGGTTGAACAGCACTTAGTATACCTGATTGTACAACATTCGTACTCATCAGGCCAGCATTGTTATAGTTCACAGGATTTGTGAACGATTGCTCTATGCTGTTCAAATTAGCGGCAGCAACAGCTTGTTGCAGTTGCTGCATTCTGCTGTTATTACGCTGCCTAGCCAATAAGCGGCAATCCTGCTTATGGGATGGCCAGTCTATGTGCTGATGCCCTGTGCAGCAATAGTAAACAGTCTTACATTTGGCACAACGCAACAATTGATCTTGTGTGCCACAAATGGCGCAACATGGAGGTGCCGGCATTCGGTGTTGACTTTGTTGTGTCATTATATGTGTTTCCATATTTTCTTTTTTTCTTTTAGTTATATTTTATATTTAATTTGTGTGTCAATAAGGTATAAGGTAGTCGTTTTTTGTTTTGTCCTTGTACTGCCCTCTTATGCATTTGTCATATTTTTTTTTTCGTACTTACGACTTTAACCTTGAAGTGGAAGCGGTCAGTCAGATTAGTGTGGACTTGCTCACTAACTTTGCTGTAGTAGTAGTAGCTGTTGTTGTTGTTGTTGTTGTTGTTGTAATTATTGCAGCTGTTTTCACACTTTTATTGTTGCAAGTGGTGAGGGGCAGGTTGATAACACTGTCAAAGCTATTAAACTTTACAGTTGATACTCAGTTAATTTCCGCAGTGCTTGTCAATTTTTGTTTGCTTTTCTCATTATTTTGTTGTTTTTTTCTGTTTTTTGTTAATCACGTAGGCCACTTTGTTTTGGTGCAGATTTTGTTGTTGTTGTTAAGCACGACGCTACGTTGCTAATCGTTTTCATTTCTACAAAACAATGTAAATAACAACAACAAATCGAAATTTCTTGTCGTTGTGCGTTTTTGTTGTTGCTGTGCTATTTTAGTTTTGTTTAAATAATGCAAAATTGTATTGAACGTATTTTCGCAAGCTTTCGATTCAAAAAAGGCAACAATCTTTTCACACACTTTATACGTCTCATATAAATCTATTTCAATTATTTACCGATAACCGTACTAGGTAAAAATTCAATTAATTAATAATAAAACAAGTAACTTTCTCGAAATATTGCTGGGAAACTATTTTGACAGCTCTAAAGGGTGAAATGCTCTGTTCCAACTGTCAAAAATAATAATTTCATCGAGACTCGATAAACATATTGAGATGCCACATGTCAGTTATTGAAAAGTAATGCCGCAGTTCAAAATGAATTTCTGTAGATAGATTTTATGTTACATGCAGTCAACAAATGTTTGTAAATCTTTATAAGTGCTTAATAAATTTATAATTTTATTTTGACTATTTTTTATATTAATATAATAGCAAGCTTACATTATCATAAATACGCACAAACTCTAAATGAATTTTATATTGCTGTTAATTGACAACTAGCAGTCAAACAACTAAAATTAAACTCTTTCTGAATTATTTAAAGTAATTTTTCTTACAAAAATTAATAATATGGTGGTTTTGATGGTGGTTTACAGTCTCAAAAAATTAAATTATAATTAAATGCAAGAAATAATTCCAATTCCATTTTTGATGAGTATTTGGCAATACTCGAAACAGCTGTATGGTCAACCAAAAACTCGATTAATTTATATACAATAAAAAATATTTCACTACTTCATTACTTTTAGAAACTTACCTATAAAAAATTTATGCAAATATATATTAGAGATTACCAGTATAAGAGATCGAATCCTAACATATAAAAATTTTTTAATATATTAAAAAATGCAACTTATTTTTTAAATGTAAATTATATTGTTTAAATAAGACTAAATAAAATTAAAATTTTAATTATATTCTGTGGAAAAAAATATTTTCAACTTTTTCACCGCTATTATTGCTTTTTGTGAGTTATTTTTTCTAGTTACACAATACAGAATACTACTATTATAATTTATTCGTGTTATTGTGTTTAGCTTTGTCCATTCAAGGCAAGCATAAAAAAAAACTCACCTTATGGTCTATTCACACAGTACAAATAATTGAATTTTTGTTCCTATGGAAATTTTTAGTTATCATGCGCACATTTGTATCATATTTTTCATTAATGAATCATATAAATGTTTATATAATATCAAAATATGTTTTAAATATAATTCTATAACTATTATAGTTTTACTAAAGATGTTCGTTTTCTCTACAAATTTCTATTTTAGAATAATTCAACATATGTAATATGTTAGTCCAATTTTTGGATAGTGAGTTTCCCATCATCGATATTGTTACATGAAAATAATCACACCAATTAGTAACTTACCATGCCCAACACATTGTTGCCGGTTTGTTGTTTAAGCTAGATAATGATTTTGTTCAATTGTAGTTTGGAACTTTAATATATTTAAAACCTTAAAACTAAAATAAAAATATTAGAAAATAAACTTCTAATATTCCTTAAAAATGTTTGACTACCGTGCCAGAGCTGTGCTTTTGGATATAGAAGGAACAACAACATCTATAAGCTTTGTTAAGGTAACAATGCACAGCATTTTAAAATAATTTTTATAGAGTATTTATTCTTAACAAATATGTATTTCATTTAAAAGGATGAATTATTTCCATATGCAATAGAACATGCCAAAGAATTTTTAGATGAGACTTGGGAGGACGCCACCACAAAAGAAGTGGTTAATAACTTACAAGTCTTAAACGAATTCAATGAGTTCAAACAGAACACGAATGAAGATTCCCTTGACATTTCTTCAAAAATAATAGCAGATTTTGTCAAATATTTAACCGATTTGGATCTTAAACTTGGGCCATTTAAAACGTTACAAGGCATGATCTGGAAAAAAGGCTATGAAGATGGCAAACTAAAAGGCCAGTAAGTGTATAATACAAATTAATGGAATAAGCATAAATATATTGAATTAATATATTGTTTCTAGTCTATTTGATGATTGCTTTAGCGCATTTTTTAATTGGAACTCAGTGGACTTGAACGTGGCAATTTATTCCAGCGGTAGTGTTGCTGCACAAAAATTACTTTTTAGTCATTCGGTGAGTGGAGATCTATCACCAGTAATAAGTCATTATTTTGATACAACAATTGGTAACAAACGAGTACCAGAGTCGTATATTCAGATTGCCAAAGAGATGGGTTTGGTTATACGTGAGATTGTATTTTTAACTGATGTTTGGGAAGGTGAATAAAATATTTTTTATATATAAGAGTATAATAATGTACTAACGTTTATTTTATATTAGAAGCTAAAGCTGCAAAGCAAGCCGGAATGCAGGTAATCATTATGTTGCGTCCTGGAAATGCACCTTTGACTGAACAGCAGCTGAAAGGTTTTGATACAGCAACGAATTTTCTTGAATTTAAAATTTTTCCATAAAAGAGTGTTTAATTATTAGCATACATAATTATAAAATGCGTAAATTATACACAAATTATACTTTTAACTTTAATTATAATTTAAAAGTTTGTGTAAAATAAATTAAAAAGTATTTTTTATACAAACAAAATTTTATGCATAATAAAATTTTGCACTAAAGTTGTATAAATGTGCAATATATATAATATACCATATGTACGATATTTTATATAACAGAAATTGTTTTAAACATTTAATATTTATTTGTAGGGCATACAATTATGTATTCTAAAAATTGTTGCTTTTTTTGAAATAATGTTTTTACAATTGAGCTCTATCTGAACTTGATAGCTCCTCACAGCTTTCACTAAAATGTGCCGCAAACAATTCAGGTGTCAAATATGTAAATGGTCTGGTAGTACGTCTTCCTTCGTTTGGAGGTTGAGATGCTGCGGTGTAACTAGCTGCGCATATTTTACAAAATAGTGGTAAATTAGTCTCGCTGCCGCTGCTACCGTTTACCTTGTGTTTCTTGCAGCTTTTGCTACGTTTCAATTTCTGTTTGAATTTTGCATCGTCAACGCGGCAAGTGTGTGATACTTTGCCAACCGTTGGACCCCAATGTGTTTTACCTTCTAATAAAAGCGGCGCCGTTTTCACTCTCATTCTCATTTGCGCTAAATGTTTCTCATATGCGCGCTGTTGGAATTCCTGTTCAGCCTTGCGTGTGGCTAAACGCATGTTGAGTATTTCTTTGTGAGATTCGCTATAAGAATTAAGTAATATGTTAAAGTATTTGGGATATGTATTGTATTTTAATATGCAAATATTTGTAAGTTTTCTTTAAGTATTATTGAGTTATGTATAAAAGATATTGAAATATTAAATGTTTATTTCATATTTAGAAACTATGATGAAGTTCAGTCTTAACATATTGTCCGAAAAAAGGGTAGATTTTCTTATAGAAAGTGATGTCTTGACTAAAGGCGCAGTTTTTCCAAACGCTATAAATCTAATAGATTTGATTGAATTTGAATAAAAATCTTGGTATTTAATTGATTTTCAAATGCATTTATGAAGCCATTTCATCTTGTCTGACATTTTTTATATAAGTATATTAGAATTAAATCAAGTTCATTGAGTTATAAATGCAAAGAAAGTGACTATGTATTGCAAGGCTATCCAGTCAGATACGATCGTGGGCCAATACCAATAACTATACAGATTGGAGGGCCGTAAAAACAAATATATACATTCATAGTTCATAATTGTTTTTGAAAAAAATAAAAACACTTGTGTTAAATTTAGTTTTATTAATTTATCAAATAAAATTCATTTACTTGGTGATTTTACCAGTACACCAAAAGAAAATTCGCGTAATTGTAGTAGATTAAAAACATGTCGTGAGCCGCACAAATATTAGCCGTGGGCCGTGCTTTGGACAGCCCTGATATATTGTATTCGTAAGTAGTGTTAAGTGTTCTGCATATGTTAAGCATGGGGTGTGGATGGGTATTACTTATAATACTAAATTCAAAAACTAATAAAAATTAACCGCTCTAAGTTAATTATTTATTTTCCAAATATGAAACCTTAATCCCTGTCTTCCAAGATTAAAATACTGCAATGTTAAGAATCTACATTTATTTACAAAAAAGGAGCGAGGTGGCATAAGAGTGTTAATAATTTAATACTCAAGTTCATGTTTTTTGTTCATATATAATCTGAGTAATCTAAATAATGGAGTTTGGTCCACTGATTCTGAAATTGCTTGAAACTATAACTAAAATCATTAAGAAGGCAGATAATATGTTGAGTTTGTGATAAAGGTTTTGGTTCACACTGATAACATAGAATATTTTCTATCCTATGTCATGGCTACTGGAGAGAGAAAGTAAAGACTCCTACAATAAATTCTCCTGATGAAGACAAAAGCGAATTTGCCGAAATACGTATAGAAATATGTATACAAAAAATTAATGCTGGAAATAAAAGTTAATATTCTTAAAAAAATAAAAAACAAAACCGACTTTAAACTTATTAGAGATCAAATAGCAACGACGGAAAGTAGAAAACATATGTCATAAGCACTGACAATTTAAGAACAAAATATGCAACAAAAGAGGAAAAACAAGGTATCTTTTAACTTTAACAAGAAGCAATATACATATATGTGTTTACACCTTTCATCACTGTACATTGTTTAATAGTATATCTTTTCCGATATAGAGATGGCATTATTGGTGATTTCTGAAACTGCTGTTTTCCGCTAATACTAAATGGAAATGGACCGAGAAGATATATTTTTATTTCTTCAATAAGGATATTACAAATAATAGTAAACCTATGGTGTTCCCTATTATATTGAGATGATAAATTTCATATTTAGAGTAGTTCTAAATTCAGTTTTTTTTATTATTTCTGTTTTAGAGAAGACTTATGTAAATGAGATAAAATATCTATATTACAAGTAAGTTTATAATACATATTATATTTAATTTCAAACATTGTTTCAAACAATGTTTTGACAGCCATTATCTGGCCGTTGGACTATTATCTGATATTGATTTAAAGTTACAATACTAAATTGTATTATATTATTTGATCTTTAGATACATAGATATTAGATACAAACTTACTTGTAGGATAAGGACTTCCAAGCTGGAGTTTTACGTACTCCCCAATCGTAAGGTGGTGGGCTCGGTATTGGGTTGTCATAAGTAGCCAATTCTTCTAGTTTTTTTTTAGCAACCTCAGCACGCAATGTAGCAGCAAGATTCTGTCTAGCTACTGGATATATTATTGCCGGATAATGAATCTATTAAAAAAAAAGAATTGTATGTGCTTGTTCTGACTTTAATAAATTCTTGTCCTTTACCTTTGATTTGTTTAAAGTCGAAGTGTTACACATAGGAAATGTTTGCTCTTGTGTTAGGTTCTTCGTGTCTACATTAGCTTTAAGATTTGCAATATTTAAGACATCTGTATTGCTACTGACTTTAGAAACTGGTGTTAAATTAATTACAGGAGTTTCAATTATAGTAGGTGTAGTAGTCATTGATATTTCATTCGAAGTAGTTGGATTAGTTTTAGGTTCTCTAATTAAAAAAAAATGAAGGTGTATATTTATACAAAAAATTTATATTTTTGGGATTTAAACATAACACTAAAGAAACTAATTTTAAACATTGTTTCGAACACTAAGTGCGGAGGTCGACAATTTAAATTTTCTTTATAAGCTCTATAAGATCTCTATGTAGTAAAATGACATATTTCTCACAGTAGAGACTGTGAATGGTTTGTACATTTATAACAATATTCTCATGTTGAGAACTTTTCCTTAATTTATTGATTATTGCACTGGATTTTAATAAACTGGGTTTTCTGACCGGTGATAACATAACAAATATTTACAATAAGTAGATTATACTAACTAATCCATTAATTAGTATTTTATCATTTCCCAACAACAGAATTAGCAGTGAGAGTCTCGAAGTTTTCTCCAATCTAAAATTAGCCATCTTAATTTATGTCTGGAGAAATTATCCAATTAATTGTCAAAACAATTATTAAATAACCATTTATACATGACAATAATACGAATTTATTTCTTAATAAAGAAGCGTTTCAGACAAGAACATGACCTAGAAAAATATGGTGTCAGTTCAGATAATCTAAAAATGGACAGATTGAGAAATTTGAGGCATGTTCCCCCAAATAGTGTTGGATGACATTAATACAGGAACTATATTACTTTTATTAGTATGTATAAATGTGCAATTCGAAAATATTTATATAAATAACTGTTTATTTAGTTACTTACATAATTCTATTTTCTTCCTTAAGTTTTTCACTGCATACTTTCGTTTCTTCCCTATTGTTTCCATTACTCAAATTCATTGGCTGTATTAAGTGCGCATGCGGTTCTGGTGAACATATCGCTTTAAAGATTTCCTTTTCTGCTGTTTCAATAGGATCCTCATTCCATATCCATCGGTAATTACCGATATCATTAGCAGAAAATGATTTTTTCAAACGTTCTCGATATGAACATAAATCATTTGTAGAAACTGTTTGTTCATTAATTTCAGATATATTAAACGATCTTGGTCTGGTAAGTTCCAATTCTAGCTCCCTAAGTGTTTTTTTGAAAGCTTGAACTTCAGCTTGGAATTCTTTTCGACAACTGAAATGATAATAATTGAAATTTTTTACAGATTTAATTATAAATTAAGGTACGTTTATTTGATACTTCTGAAATGTTGCTGTCTCCGCATCGATGTCATCTTGAAAAAATGGTGGATGCTGTAATTTCTCTTTTAGTTTAAACTCAGCATATGTTGTAGATTTTCTTTGGCACTGTTTTCCATTAATAGTTATCGTTGGCTTTCTTTGGTAAACTTTTGAACGTATATGAGCGTATGGTTTCTTTTGAAAAGTCCTAGTACAAGTCGTTGGTGAAAGTGTATTAGGTTTTTGACAGGTAAATGCTGCAGAGTTATTAGGTCGTAGACAAGCAGATGGTGTAGATATATTCGATTTTGTATTGGTTGTTGTTATTGCGGTATTTGGTTTTTTCTGGACCGTTTTTATATTGATAATAGGTGTCGGTCTCTTTTTAGTTATTTGTTTAGCATTGCAATTTGTGGACATGCCCGTATTATGATTTTCAATATATTCCGACGTATTTGGTTCATTGGTTCTCAAATTTTCGCAAGTTATACGTAATGTTTCTAAAGTTGTGTAAAACTCAGCTTCTGGCAAATGATTAATATCACAGTAATCTAAAAATTATAAAAGATTTTTTACTTTTAATTACTATAAATAATATATAATATTCATTTATATTACTTGGAATACTATCGTAAAGCTCAGCTAAAGAACGAATCTCAGTATTTGCAACCAACTCTTCTGTTTCTGTATCTGGCTCGGAAGGGCTTACTTGCTTCGTAGATTTTACTTTTGTTTTATGACAGCGCCCTAAATAAATTTTTGGTCGGTTGTAAATAGGCGCAGGACAGTTATTGCAAGGATCTATTGGTGTTTTTAAACATGAGTTCAAAAAAGCTCTACCTGTATGAGTGGACATTTTATTTTATTAAATTATTTTTATATTTTTAATAACAATAAATGAAAACTATATAATTGTGATTTAAAAAACTGTTGATAGTCCTCTTTGCTAACTATTTATTGATATTTTTTGGATATAATATATCAATACGCTAAGGAATTATTGAGTAACCAACGTAACAGTTTGAAGGTTAACTAGGTTAGCCTAATATGTTTTAAACACCGAGAATAATACAGTAAAATAAAGAAAAAATTTGTTATGAAAATAATAATTTCTTTAAAAGAAAATATTTTATTTGTTTGTAAAATCATTTTAATTATAACTTTTTTAAATAGATTATAATAAATATATTATATGCATATATATATATATAATTTATATGATAGGGAATAATGTACATATATGAACCATGAATGATTAAACTATCCCATTCAAAATGTTTTTTTAAAGAATATGTTGATATATTTAATATATTGATGTATTTGACAATTCATGCTAGAGTTAGTATCACAAAGATTTCCACCATATATTTCTACTTCATAAAGTAATTCAATATATATAAAGAAGATCTGAAAAACAATGTATATGAAGCAATAAATATAAATTAACTTTATATTTAAAAGAATTTTTTAAATATATACTTCCCTAGTCTTTAGAGCTGCAATTCTATCAATCAGTTCATTAAAATCAAAAACTATTTCGTTAATAGTTCTTTATAAGTTCCAGATTCAAAAACCGCATATATTATTTCTTAGATTATAAAAAATAATTGAAGACCGTAAGCGTGTTAGAAAAAGATCTGGAAACCTACATTTTTGTTTAAATTTTGAAACCATAAACAATAGTCAGTATATAGTTTAGTAAGGGACAATAACAGCTGCCTTTATATGCCTTCTAGACGTTATTATTTCCTAAGAGAATAATTTAGGAATAAACTCCAATAACTTTTTGTTATATGCCAATGGTAGGCTCTTATATAGGATTGTCTCAAGCACATCTATAAAAACGCAGACTATAGTCCAGCTTATTCCCAAATGACTCTGCTTCTAGAGAAAAATTTTTTTAAGGTCGTTAAGGTTTTTAACTTTTTTGCTTTAGAAGAACAAGACAAATCCAGACCCTTAGTCGGAAAAAACTATACACAGAGAAAGGATCAAGTCAAATCAAAGTCAAAACAAAAACAAAGACATTTAACTTAGTCATCAAACAGTTTAAATATCAATCATTTTTACAACTTAAATTATTATAATATATACATAAGCCTTCGTAGATAAATCAGTGATATATATATATATATATATATATATATTCGTTTTTGATTTTATTTTGGATACTTGTTTATTCATTCATTCCGTTAACCATTGATCATGTGTAAGCGAAATATTTAGCCTTGCTCATTAGTTATATTAGTCATTAGTCAGTTTTTGGTTTTATTCATATGAACATGTTTAAACAACATGTTTAAATTGTGAATACATAAATTGTGAATTTATTGTTTTAATACCTTAAATAATAAAACAAATTTATAAAAAAAAAAGTAAATAAGTAAATAAATACGAAAACAAAAATCATTTGTTCTAAATATTTTCAAGACTAATATATACAAAATGTATTCACAATTATTTGAGTTTGTAATGTTGCACATTCAACGATGCACAGACATCCTGAATACCCTATTTTAATTTAATATATGTTTACATTTGTTTTTACACATTAACATAAGTTTAAAAATACTTTTTCTGTAAACAGCAACACTAAAGTATTTTTTTAACTACTAATAAAATACATTCCACACACATATGGTCTTAAGTTCCATTTCTTGGAAAATTTGGATGGTGTTGTTTTCATAAATTCAGTAGTGTTGTGTCATTTGCCGTGTTGTGTTGTTTTGAACAAGTGTTCGGTTTGTTTTATTTTCATAACTGCATAAATTAAATTTACACTTTAATTCCTTGCGAAATTAATTAACATTCAAAAAAAATTGGTTTTAAAGAAATTCGAAATTTTAAAAATTAATTAATAATTCGTAAGTGTTAAAGTGTTGAAAATGCGTCTTAACATTTTGACAAGTGTAACAATTGTTGCACTTTTAATGTGTGGCCAAATCAAAGCTGATGATTCAAAAAGCGCAGAGTATGTAAGTACAAAAAAATTATATTCTATTATTATTATGAAGTAAATAATGCAATTATTACCACTAATGCTAATTATAACTAAAAAAATGCTAAATTCATTTAAGTACCAAGCAGTAGAAGACATAAAAAACACACTCACATAAACGCACCACAATTTAATTAAAAAAAAATTTTAATAAATATTCTACACTTTTTTTATAATTATTTAAAAGGCATTTTAAATTTCAAGTTGATTAAATATTAATTTCAATAAATTATTACTGCTACTAAATTATTAAACTGCTTTTTGAATTTAATATTATGCCAACTGATATTCACTTTACAAGCTTCAACAAATTAACTACAAAAACAACTTGCTTCTAATATTTAAAATACCCACACACAAACCATTCATTGCTAATTCAACTAACAAAGAAACTTTTTTTTTATACATTTTTTACGCTTCCAAACTTAACTTCCATTAAAAAAAATTGCCATACAAAAAGCACTGCAAATTGCTTTTATCAACTAAGTTTTGCTGGCTTTGTTTACTTGATTCAAATCAATTTGTTTAGGTAGGAAGCAAGTGAAGAGATGAAGGAGAAAGACCTTTTACAAAGCTAATTTGACCGATTATATATTGTTATTGTTGTTATTATTGTTGTCATGTTAGGAACAGTTAATATAACAACAAAAGCAATTTCTTTATCAATTGACTACTTTTACTGTTGGTATTTTTGCTTTTGTTGTTGTTATTATCATTGTTGTTCTGTTGGGATTAATTCAAGCAGCTTATTTAGCTTTAAAATCTGCGTTTTTGCAATTAATTTCAATTTTTATTAATTTTAATAAAAAAGATGCCATTCTTTTTCGTTGCAATGATTTGAATTAATTAAAATCAGTTTTTTAGACAAGGCATTATTTTATATTAAAAATCCATCATATTTTTTTAAATTTTTGCTGAATATACCAAATTCTTAATCACATACTTTTTCATAAAATAAACATCAAAGAGCTTTAAAAAAACTAAAATATGTTTCAGTTTAATGCAAAATATGTACACATATATTTATATGCATGCCTGTACATACATACAAACATATGGCGTATCGTGTTCACTCATCTTAGGGATATTGTTTACATAAATATATTAACAAAGTAAATTTAGCTTAGTTTACAGAAAAAAAGTTAATTGTTGAATGGCGGTGTGAGTTTCTTTGTTTTTGTTGTTGTATAGCTTCAAGCTGAACGTCAGCATTTTTGACTGTGCGGGAAGAAGCACTACTTTTACCTCGGCCGTTTTGTTAGAACAAGCATATTTGCTACTTGTATTGTGCAATTAAAAAAAGGGTTCTATAGTACGAGAAGTTTAGGGTTAATATAGAAAGGAAATCTGCTCAAGGGAATAAAATAGTTATAAATGGGCTAGGCTAAGAAAGATTTTACTAAAATACTTGGTAGAGATATATTTAACATAAAAGCATTTGAACTAAAAGAAAATAAAGACGTTGACTTTGTCTACTTTGGATCTTTAATATTTATTTTCCACATATAGTTACTTGGAATTTTTTAATAAAACCTTCTCAGACTAAAGCTAAAAGACTAAACCTTCTCCTAATGTTAAAATTAAATCTAATCCGATTAAAAGTAAAAGTTTTATATTTTATTATATAAAATGTAGTACATTAACAGGACAATTCTTGCAAGAGTTCGTTTGAAAGATCTTTCGTATTCTGGAAGCGGTCATTTGCAAGACTGACATCTCTTTTCAGATTTTCTAAAGACCAAATGAAAGATCTGCCTATATTTTGTTTATATTTTGTGTATAAACTTTTTTTATATATAATTAACTTATTGACATGCTTAAGTGGTGGATCCCAACAATCATCGCAATAATGCTTAAACTGACCTAGTTTAAGTTTGCTAAACAACTAAGTATAATGAAATATGTTCGTTTAAACACAATTATAGTGAAAACTCTCCTATCGGTCATGTTATATAAAGCGTGAAATGGTTCATGACGAATAGTTACGGCAATTGGTCATCACCAAAGACATGTTATGCAAAGAGTCATAATACAATTGTCAATTTTCTACCTTTACTACTATATAGACACGTCTTTTTTGTACCTAAATTTAATTAGGTAATTATATTTTATCATTTTCACGTTACGAACTTTAATGGCGGAAATCGATTTTAACCTCAAAACCAGTTATTAAAGTTTATTTTGTGAAATAAAACTAGCTATGACGAGGCACAGAAAACCTTTTCAGCAAAATTGCTCTTTTTCTCAATCTCAAATTTTTAATTTACATTGAAAACAAAACAATTTTAAACAGGACATGACAATGACTATCTGTATAATATGGCCCTAACGGAATATGAAATTTTCCATTTTCCATTAAAGTGATACTAAACTAAACTGATTGTATTTTAATTAAACGTACTTAACGAATAGAATGAATTACAATTAATTATATGGAGTTAAAAAAAATCTTAAATATTGTTCTGCTACACTTATAATAACGACACAACAGTTATTTAATTATTTCTGTTTTACAAATTACTCCACTGTTTTCTTTATATAATCCTAAAAAATCAGTACAAAAAATGGGTCACATTAGAATATAAAGAAAGCAATCTGTTAAGTTGGGGAACAAATGAAGAACAATTAAGAGCCCAACTTCTAACAAGCTTAAAGTAGTAACATCTCCTATTTCAACCATAATCAATAAAAAATCATGGTATATAAAAGAACCAGTTTATTATATTAATCATCATATGTATATGGATTATAAATTGACAGTAGCAAAATTTAATTACAAAAACGGAATTATTATAACTAAAAGATTTGGAGTATTTATAAGATAACTTGATTTATAATAACACTTTAACATATAAGAA